ATTACATACTCTATTTTTCTGCAAGTTCTTTGCTTTAATTGTTTAGTTTATTGCTGTTATATGTTACAAATCTCATTCTAAAATTCATATGGCTCAAATGGTTATAATTCTGTGAAGTGGTACTTGAAACCTAAATTCCCTGTGGAGACGATATTCTGATCTTAAATTTACTCATCACTTGCTGTAATCCTAGTGCACTTGCTAGTATAGATTGCGAACAACACCGCACCATTGGGGCAACCCCCCTCCACTACCCTTAAGGTCCTTCCCTCGAACCTGAACACTCACATCCCTCAGCTGTGCTAAACTGTGACCTTGACTTTCCATCCTCCATATCGTGCACATAAAGAGTTTCATAACCGCATTCTCACTTCACCATTTTTTTGAACGCACATTAAATTCCCAAAGGCCATAAACCACATAACCAAATCCACGCTCATAAGAGCTAGTACGTTCAAAGAAAAGAAGAACCATTCGTCCACAGTCCGAGAATAAAAGAAAAGGAAAGAAGATGGAGATAGTTATAAAAATTTCGTTCAAATATCATAGTCAAAATGTACCTTCGCAAACAAAATAATCATCAAAGAATCATGGAAATAACCGCAAGTTTAATCACATATGCAACTCATTTCTACCACAAATTTTTCATAAAATAGTGATTATGTGGTAGGAGAATTCTTTCATGGTTAAGAAAAAGGGTTCCTTGATCATACAGAATCAAACCGAGAGAAAAAGGTGAGTAATTTCTTAGCTAAAACAAAAAGGAAGGAGGGTAGTCGATGAAAATCGAAAAGAACACAAGGATTCATAGAGTTATTTTAACATGCAATCGGATATTTATCAAAGTTACCAACTTTATTCAATAATAAAGGTAAACAACCGAGACTCATACAAGGATTTCAATATTATCAACATGGAAAACTATTTCAACCTCAATCAAGTTCACGCAAGTTACAAAACATGGATTTTTAAAACACCAACCAAATAGAATCACCACAAGATGAAGAAAAATGGTTTGCATGTAATTTTCATTGATGAAGATCAGAGATGAAAACAAGAAGAAGAGAGTGCATGCAGAGTTTACAAGTTAACGAACCACCACATGCATTCAAGCGCAAACAAGAGCTCCCCTAACCTTGTTTGGTTTGAGAAAGAGAGATAGAGTGGAAGGCTTGGCCTTGGTACTAGCAGAATCTTGGTCACGACTTGAGTCCTTGGTGTTTTGTCGCCTCTTTGAGTGGTTGGTGATGAAGTGTGTTGTCTATGAGAGAAAAGGGCGTAGAGGTTTTGTGTAAGGGTGAGAAGGTGTTGAGAGAGAAAAGAAGTGGTGAGGTTGAGAGTGTTTTTGAAAATAAGGGAAAAAGGGCGCGTGAGGATTAGAAGATGTCTTTATATAGTGTGGCTTAAAGATTTTGCCCATTCGTCTCCCAAAGGCTGGCGGTGAGTTGCACAAGAAGGGTTTTAGGGCTAGGTTAGGCGAAGTGACATACCCTTTCGCCTTCTCACTTGAATAGTCATGTCTCATGGTGTCCAAGTGTAGGCGATGTGCCTTGTCGAGAGCCTTCAATGCACAGAGTGCAGAAGAAGCAAGCCGTTGGTGATCCACACATCTCTACACGCCATTCATCACGATGGAGTAACCGAATGGTGGGTTGACCTGGGCAAGAGTGAGTAATTAATGCACGTTGCCGACTAGGGTTCGTTTATGGAGGGAAATGGGTTCAAACCCTTCGTGTCCCACGAATTTGAAAGGGTGATGTCCTTTTGAGTGGCTAGTGAAAAGGCGGTGCCTCTTGGACTCCTTGAGGCAAGGTGGCACCTTTTCCTTGCCTTGGGTGTGTGGCCAATGCCGTAAAACAGGAAATAATTGCATGCAATTAATGAGGCATAATTTCCAGAATAAATGTTGCTATTTAAATTTCTCGTGAGGTTAAATGCGGTTAAGAGGTAATTTAGGTAACTTGAATGACGGTTTAAATGAGGCAGGTGAGGCTCCCTCGGGTTAAATGAAATTAGGACGCAGTTATTAGGGAAAAATAATGTGAATGGTCAGTTGGTTCATGCAATTAATGCAAGGTAATTAAGGAAGGTAAATATGATCAATGTCGGGCACGGAATTAGGGAAGTAATGGCTCCATTTGAAGCGTTTCAGGCTTATTGACACGCCTAAATAAATGCAGGTGGGTAATTAAATAACTCCAGTGGTAGTTAAATGGGGAAATGGAAGGTTATTCGAGTAAGTGGGAATGAAAAAGGCATCCTTAATGATTGCTTGCAAGAATCATGCTAATTTCTGGTCAACACCAATTAAATACGCATGAGAATCTAAAAAGTTTGCAATCAAGGGGTGAATATGCAATTAATGTCATGCATGGTTTTAGGTTTTAAATGCCTTAGGTGGCGACTTTTCAAGCTAACATCATCACTCCCTAAATGCGGCTGGCGGTTCCAATTATATGGGAAAGGGAATTTGAGCGTGTGTCCATTCATTTTCTCGAGAGGTTGAAGGTAAGTGGGAGGTAATTAGGGTAATTATGGTGCATGTAACGGCTAGGTGAAAAGGCTTCTCGTGAGAGTGATTAAGTATGGGGAATTTCTCAATAAATGATCATTGGAATAAATCTTAAATGGGATTAAATTGGTCAGCTATAATAAAGGGCACTAGAATAGGAAGAGTTTACGTTTTGGGAAGAGATTTTAGGCTCTAATCTTCCTTTAATTCTCGGCTGCACCTTTCATGAGGGAATCTCAATTGATTGCAATTTAACATGTAACGGTTTAGGAAAGGACAAACGGCTACATTTTAATTAGGGTAACTAAGGAATTGATAATTGTGTTAAATGCAATTATTTAGGCTCAGAATCTGGGTCATTATGGCCGGTTTCTCTCTCTCTTATCTCATGCATTAACGAAAATTGGTTGCCCTAATTAAGAGGGATATATTTGAACAAAATCATAAGGTGTCTATTCAAATTTCTCCCTTCCCCTAGGCATTGAATGGCTTTTCGGCTACAAGACTTAAATGAGGAACGATTGAAAAATGTCTCTTGAAATTTTGTGTTACACGTGGAATCTAGGGCAAAAGGGTGGCTTTCCTTAAGTGGCCAATTAAGGATAGAGAGGAAAAGTTACACGTGTAGTTCTGCTAGTTTAAGAAAATATCTAGCAAAATTCAATAACATGAATTAAAAAGGATAATGTAAGCATTAATCATAATGGTCATGAAGTAAAATGGGGTCCTCCTATTTGACCAAAAGACAAAATTGCCCCAGGGTTAATCTCAGTAACCTAGGGTTATTTAAAGTAGTCATACCACATGATCATATAACACATGCACATAAAAATTTACATTAAACATTACCAGAAAAAAAATATAGCAGGCTCTATTGTGCAGCAAAGACCCTAGCAATTCAAATAATCATCATTAAAAGAGAACATTCATAAAATCAACTAATCCACAAAATTATCAAAAATGTACGAAAATAAATCAATATAATAATAGTAGTACTAATAAAAGCTAACTAAACTCGGACAACCCTAAGTACACAAATCAAAATTGGGGATGTTACATGAATGGAGGAAAGTTAGGAATTTATTTCACTAGAATATCAATATCAATTCAGTTCTGCCTCTGAACATTCAAGCAATTGATTGCTTGACAATCGGTTTCTCTTTACAATAATCAAAGATTGATTCCTCAATTCATTGGTCCTAATATTCAACCAAATCTCCCTAATTCCTTAGGCCAAATTTAGTTCAATATTGCATTACGAATTAGAACCAAAAGATCAAAACTAAGACCACTTATCCCTAAGAAAATCAATAGTTTTGGGAATTAATTCAGATTCAAGCAACAAACCCAATTTCCATTAGTGAAGGTTACTTTTTGATTAATCAATTGAACTTCCATTCAAAGATCAAGTAAACATAGAATTAATCCCTCAATCAAATCAAATACTCAAAGTTTAAAGTCAAAACAAAATCAATATATCAATTCTAAATCCATAAATCCCTAACAAAAAGAGTTAGAAACACATTACAATGAAATGAAGAGAAGTAAGAAGAAAAGAAGATGAAAAGTAGAGACCCATCACCATAACTTCGTCTTCTCCCAGATTCCTCTAGCAAAGAAGAACAAAAGTCGCTCGTCTCTTCTCTCTCTGACTTCCCTTGGAAGTTAAAACGGTTACAATTGAATACCAAAAACTAAAAATGACAAAAAGCTCTTTTTCTAAGTTTCCAATTCCTATTTATAGAGTTCCTCTAATTCTTCGACTTAACCCTTAGAATTCTGAAAGTTAGTTATCCCCAGATGTTCTAGAATCTTCTAAAAGTGATACAAAAACTCCAAACGTCCAGAATTGACAAGAAGAAGAAGTTATAAAAACTGCAGAGTTTTGCGCCAAAATGCGCAGTGGCTAGAGTGAAGGCGCGCAGTTGCACGCCAAGGCTTCAAGTGATATGAGTTGCAACTCTCTGTTGCGCACCAAGGCTTCAAGTGATGTGTGTTTCAACGCACATCACTACAATGAACGTTTCTTCCATATGCTCAGCTCTGCGTTGCTACGCCATTTGTTATGAGTTGCCACTCTTTGTTGCGCGCCAAGGCTCCAGGTGATATGCATTTCAATGCAGTGGCAGTTATCTAGTCACAGTTGCTGGGGTGTTAACGCGCATCACTCATAGTAGCCACGCAAACCCAATGCTATATTTTCTTCTTTCCACGTTCAAACGCCAATCACTTGGAGTTGTAACGCCCAGCTCTTAGGATTTCTTCAAGCTTGATTCTTTAACTTTTCTTCTTTAATTTCAGCTTTTAATCCTTCCTTTAAGCACTTTCAACAACTTTCCATCTTTTGCATGAATTCCTACAAAAATCTAAACAATTTTTAATATTTCAACAAAACAACAATTTATACTAATTATTTTATTTTTGTGATCTTTTCAAGTTATTTTTAGAATTATTTTCCTAATTATTAACCAAAAACTATGCTAAAACCATGATAAAATATGGATTTATCACTGCCGCTGCTGCTCAGGCTGCAGCTGCCACTACCTCTACTACCCCACCGGAGTACCAAGGGTTAGCTGAATTCAGACAGAGCGACCCACCTCAGTTTACTGGAGTAGAAGGGCCGAATGCGGCTGAGCAGTGGTTGAGAGACATAGAGAAAATCTTTTTCACGATGGGTTGTGTGGAGGACCGCAAGGTATTATATGTTGCTTATATGTTGTCCGAGGATGCAGAGATGTGGTGGCATGGGGCTCGTGCTATGCTGGAGGCACGGAGAGAGATCATCACTTGGGAAGTATTCAAGAATAGCTTCCTGGGTAAATTCTTTCCTCCCCATGTGCGAGCGGCGAAGGAGAAAGAGTTCCTAGAGTTGATGCAAGGAAGCTCTTCAGTGTACGAGTACGCCACTCAGTTCGAGAGGCTGTACAGGTTCTACTCCCACCCTACTTCTGAGGAGTGGAAGTGTCAGAGGTTCTCTAAGGGGCTGAGGACGGATATTAAGCATATTTTGATACCTCTGAGAATTTTTGAATTTGCTGACTTGGTGGACCAGGCCACCATCATTGAGAGTCTGAATGCCGAGGACACGGGCGGAGTGGAGAAGGCCTCACCGAGCAGGGAAGCTAGTACCTCTAGCAGTGGAGGTATCAGGGATGCTAGGAGAGCACCATACAGTCGACCGCCTCGATAGCAGCAGCCTCGACCCTCACAGTCTAGAGGGTCTGCCTCTTCAGTTTCCAGGACAGTGGGGACTATTGTACCTACTCTGTAGCCTAGGGGAGTTTCTGCTCCGTCCCCTAGAGCTCCAGCGATGACCCCTGTCAGATGCTTCAGATGTGGGGGATCTCACTATGTCAATCAATTCCCTCAGACTGACAGCAGGGTTTGCTTTTCGTGCCAGCAGCCAGGGCACCTTGCCAGAGATTGCCCAGTTTCTTCGGGCAGGGCTGCTTCTTCTTCAGCGAGTGCTTTGCACTCTTTTAGACCGAGAGCAGTGAGAGAGCCGCATCAGATTAGGCCTCGAGCGGAAGGCCGAGTATTCACTACTTCTGGAACGGAGGCAGCTCGAGCCGCTGATTTAGTTCATGGCAGAGGAATAGTAGCAGGTACTGCATTGTTTGTTATCTTTGATTCTGGGGCTACCCATTCATTTATTGCCAATGTTTGTGCCGAGCGGTTGAAGTTGTCGGTGAGTGACTTGGAGTGTGAGTTGGTAGTGTTTACGTCGGCGATGCATTCGATGACAATCTCATCTGTTTTCTTAGGATGTCCGATTGAGGTTGAAGGGTAGAGGTATAAGGTGAACCTCATTTGTATCGCCATGGTCGAGTTAGATGTGATTCTGGGTATGGACTGCTTAGCTGTCAACCATGTCTTGATAGACTGCGCTCGGCGATGTTTGTTTTACCCGGAGGTGCAGAGTAATGCTGAAATAGTGCTGCCTCATCGGGTAGAGGCATCTTTGCTAGAGGGAACTACGTGTTTTATCCTCTTAGCGAGTGAGGAAGTCAGTGAGGAGCAAAGTCTACAGTTGATACCTGTGCTGCAGGAGTTTCCTGAGGTCTTCCCTGAGGATGTTCCTAGTGTGCCTCCACCCAAGGAAGTAGAGTTCGGAATCGACTTGTGCCTGAAGCTGAACCGGTATCAGTCGCGCCTTACCGAATGGCACCAAAGGAGTTGGTAGAGCTAAAAGGCTAGATTGAGGAGTTGATGCAGAAGAAGATGATCTGACCTAGTGTATCATCTTGGGGATCTCCAGTCCTCTTGGTAAAGAAGAAGGATGGGAGCTCTAGGCTATGTGTGGACTACCGGAAGCTGAATAAGTTAACCACTAAGAATAGATACCCGCTGCCCCGCATTGATGACTTGATGGATCCGTTGAGAGGTGTCAAGGTGTTCTCTAAGATTGATTTGAAGTTGGGGTACCATCAGATTAAGGTGAAGGATGAGGATGTCCCCAAGACCGCTTTCTACACCAGATATGGACACTATGAGTATGTAGTGATGCTGTTCGGAGTCACCAATGCTCCAGCTGTATTCATGGGGTACATGAACCAGATCTTTCGGCCGTATCTAGATCAGTTTGTGATGGTGTTCATTGATGACATTCTGATCTACTCCAGCACTCTGGAGGAACATGCTGAACACTTAAGGATTGTGCTAGGAATCCTGAAGGAGAGGCAGTTGTATACTAAGCTGTTCAAGTGTGAGTTCTGGCTGAGGGAAGTAAGATTTTTAGGGCATGTAATTTTGGTTGAGGGAATTTCAGTTGATCCTTCTAAGGTAGAAGCGGTGCTGCAATAGGAGAGGCCGAAGATCGCCATCAAGATCCGTAGCTTCATAGGGTTGGCAGGATACTATCGGAGGTTTATTGAGGGATTTGCGAAGATAGCTGCCCCTATGACGCAGTTGACTCACCGAGATCAGCCTTTTGTGTGGACTGAGGCTTGTGAGCAGAGTTTTGAAGAGTTGAAGTGGATGCTGACCACTTCCCCAGTCCTTACACTTCCGAATGCTAGCAGGCCGTTTGAAGTGTACTGTGATGCTTCACACCAAGGCTTGGGGTGCGCGTTGATGCAAGATAGGAGGGTTGTGGCCTATGCATCACGCCAGCTGAGGCCCTATGAACTGAACAATCCCACCCATGAGCTTGAGCCGGCAACTGTGGTCTTTGCACTGAAGATTTGGCGGCATTACCTGTATGGAGCCAAGTTCAATGTGTTTAGTGACCATAAGAGCTTGAAGTACCAGTTTGATAGAAGGAGCTGAACATGAGGCAGAAGAGGTGGATGGAGTTCCTTAAGGACTATGAGTTTCAGCTGCAGTATCATCCTGGCAAGGCTAATGTGGTAGCTGATGCCTTGAGCAGGAAGGTAGTTCAGGCTCTCTCTTTGAGAGTCAGTGAGTCCCTTCTGATCGAACAGTTCTGAGATTTAAACCTCCATATGGATGTGTTTCCTGATAAGATTAGTTGTGGCAGAATTGTGATCACCAGTGGTTTTCTGTAAGAGATCAAGGATAAACAGTTGTGGGACCCGACACTGTGTAAGATGGTGTTTCTGTTGGGAATGAATAAGGCTGAGGGTTTCGGTAAAGATACTGATGGTATCCTCCGATACCAGGGTCGAGTCTGCGTTCCTAAGGATGCAGAGTTGATAAGGGCTATATTGGAAGAAGGCCACAAAGGTAACCTGAACCTTTATCCCGATGCCACTAAGATGTACCAAGACCTAAAGCAGATGTTCTGGTGGCCAGGCATGAAAAGGGAGATAGCTGAGTTTGTAAAGGCTTGTCTGACTTTTCAGAAAGCAAAGGCCGAACACCAAAGTCCCCCTGGAGAGCTGCAGACAATGGAGATTCTGGAATGGAAGTGGGACCATGTGACCATGGACTTTGTGTCCCACCTGCCAAAGGCTGTCAGGAACCACGATGCCGTGTGGGGTGTGGTTGATAGGTTGACGAAGAGTGCCCACTTCTTGCCTATCAACATGACCTACAGTTTGGAGAGACTGGCAGAACTGTATGTTAGAGAGATTGTTAGACTGCATAGAGTGCCTTCTAGCATCATCTCTGACAGAGACTCTCGCTTCACTTCGCAGTTTTGGCAGAGCTTTCAGGAGGCTTTGGGCACACAGTTGAGGCTTAGCTCTGCCTACCACCCGCAGATGGATGGCCAGTCAGAGCAGACTATTCAGACCTTGGAGGATTTGCTGTGGACGTGTATAATTAAGTAGAAGGGTAGTTGGGAGGAGATGTTGCCTCTGGTGGAGTTTACTTACAACAACAGTTTTCGTACGAGCATAGGTATGGCTCCTTTTGAGGCGTTGTATGGACGGAGGTGCAAAACTCCCATCTATTGGTTCCAGGATGGAGTACACCTTATGGTGGGACCAAAGATGCTTCAGAAGACGAAGGAGCAGGTTGATCTCATTCGAGAGAAGCTGAGGGCCACTCAGAGTCGCCAGAAGTCCTATGCTAATAGCCGCCAACGACCCTTGGAGTTTGAGGTTGGGGATCACATTTTTCTGAGAGTATCACAGACTACCGGTGTAGGTCGAGCATTGAAGGCAAGGGAGTTGACTCCTAAGTTCATTGGGCCGTATCAGATTTTGCACCGGAGAGGACCAGTGGCCTATGAACTGGCTTTACCACTGCAGTTGGCAGGATTGCACAATGTTTTCCACGTGTCTCAGCTGAGGAAGTATATACCGAATCCTTCGCATGTGGTTGAGCCAGATGAAGTACAACTTCAAGATGAAATGGCAGTGGAAGTCCCAGCAGCCCGAATAGAGGATAGCTGGATGAAGGAACTTAAAGGGAAGTCCATAAAGCTGGTGAAGGTGGTATGGGTCCCAAGTACAGGGGATGCTACTTAGGAGCTGGAGGAAAAGATGAGAGAGTTGTCCCCCCATCTTTTTCCCATAACAATAGACAATTTTTTAGTACAAAAATTTATTTTCAGGGGGAGAATTGTAAAGCCTTGGTTTGTATGTGTTGAAAATGATAAGACTTGAGTGTAATGTTGCCATGAATGAATGTATTTACCTTGTCTTATTGCACTGATTGTTGAATTATAAGATGTGGATATATATATATATATATATATATATATATATATATATTGGTTAGTGGCTGAGTTTGAAATAAGAGGAATAACCTAAGTTCTAGTGCAGGGCCTTCTCGCTATAGAGAGGGGATTCTCGCTGTAGCGAGAGGTCTCAGGGAGAGAGGCCTACGCCTGTCGCCTTCTCGCTGTAGCGAGAGAGGTCTCACTGTAGCGAGAGAGCGACAGCCCAGGCTGTATTTCTGGGTGTAGTCTCGCTGTAGCGAGATTCTGCAAAAACTAGAGTGCAGTTTCTTCTAAGTTTTTCGCTGTAGCGAGATTCTGCAGAAACTAGAGTGCAGTTTCTTCTGAGTTTTTCACCTTCTGAGTTTCTTCTGCAGATACTGAATCATTCACATGTGGTTGAGCCAGATGAAGTACAACTTTGAGATGAATTGGCAGTGGAAGTCCCAGCAGCCCGAATAGAGGATAGTCGGATGCAGGAACTTAGAGGGAAGTCCATAAAACTTGTGAAGGTGGTATGGGACCCAAGTACCGGGGATGCTACTTGGGAGCTGGAAGAAAAGATGAGAGAGTTGTACCCCCCATCTTTTTTCCATAGGAATAGAAAATTTTTAGGGACAAAAATTTATTTTTGGGCGAGAATTGTAAGGCCTTGCTTTGTATGTGTTGAAAATGATAAGACTTGAGTGTAATGTTGCCATGAATGAATGTATTTACCTTGTCTTACTGCATTGATTGTTGAATTATAACAAAATGTGTTGTGTGTTGAGCTGATGTGGATATATATATATATATATATATATATATTGGTTAGTGGCTGAGTTTGAAATGAGAGGAATAGCCTAAGTTCTGGTGCAGGGCCTTCTCGCTATAGCGAGGGGATTCTTGCTGTAGCAAGAGGTCTCACAGAGAAAGGCCTGCGCCTGTCGCCTTCTCGCTGTAGCCAGAGAGGTCTTGCTATAGCGATAGAGCGACAGCCCAGGCTGTATTTCTGGGTGTAGTCTCGCTGTAGCGAGATTTTGCAGAAACCAGAGTGTAGTTTCTTCTGAGTTTTTTGGTGTGGCGAGAACATGTCGTTGTAGCGAGAGTGTCGCGTTTCAGACTGTATTTAAGGGTTCTTAAAGAGCTGCGCGAGGGTTATTTCAAAACCCTCAACCCTTCTCTTCTTCCCTTCGCATTTTCGGTCGATTCCCACCCCAAATCACTAGAAAACCCTGACCTCTCTCGTGATTCTAGGCCGTAGGGAGTGATTGAAGCCATTTTAGGTAAGTTCTATGGTTTCTTTTTGGGATTTCTTGAATTCCTCCAACCCCCATTTGATTTTCTAAGCTTGGCTGCGTTTGTAGGGAAGTTCTTATGGATTCTAGGCTTAAATAATCGAGAGCACCTTGAAAAACACCAGATTGAGGTAAGGGGAGCTTGCCCTAGGTCGTTTTGATGATTTGGGAGTGATGAGAGGTGTTGAGAGAGGGCTAGAACTGCGTTTTTGGAATGAAATTGTTGTATTAATGTGATTGATTGTTGTTGAACCCTAGGAGGAGTAGTTGATAACCGAATGATAGAGTATGGTGGTTGTATGCTGTGAAAAACCCTAGGGAGGATGACCTAATGTGCTAAATATGACGTGTAGTAAATTACTGGGCTAGTTGCTAAGTTAATAATGTTGTATTTGCTCAAAATTTGCTGAATTAGCTGAGCTGTTACATAATTACTATTGCTAAAAT